ACTGCAGCAGGACCATTCACACGCCAAAGCAAGGTAGGAGCCCGAATCAACCATCTGGTTAGAGCTTCTAAGATTAAAGAGTCTTCCCCAACACACACAAACTCACTCTTTGTGAAGTAACTAACCTGGTACATTAGCTGGCAGTTCCTGATTACTGCTTCCAGTGGGCGATTCAGACATTTGGGCGTTGCTTTCATCAAATTCATGCTTAAATATACATAGCAGGCAGGAGATTCTGTAGTCCAATCTCACATTCAAAATAAACTGATGATACAGATATAGGAAGAATGTTAAAATAATTTGCCTTTTTGTAGTACATGGACAGAACTTGTGCATATGCAGTGCTACTAACATGCAAGATCTGCCTAGTAAAAATGTGGATTTCACTTGAAGAGGTACACAAAAGTATTTCTTAAAAATTCCCCATATTCAGGAATTTTTCCAGTGATTCTACTGACAGTATAATGATGTGCACCTAGTAATAAATACTGATGAATAAAAGATTCTGACAGAGTTTGGATCCTTTACTATTGTCCAGCATTCCCCCCCCCCCCCCCTCCCAGAATGGAAAGCATTGCTATTTCTATTTTAAATTAACAGGAACCTAGCAGACAAATGCTGATGCCTTGCTCACGCAGGCTCCCAGGGGTCTGTGGCAGAGAAAGCTAAACATGAACTGCCAAGGGCCAGTGCCATAATCACAGCAGCAAAGGCGGCTGTTGCAAGACAACAGTAACAGCTCCGGTGGCACCAGAGGTTTCATTAGCGCTGATGCAGTTCAGGAGAGAGATTCTCCTTTTCAGTGGCATCACAACAACTCTCTTGAAGGACATAAAATGCAAAGAACGTTAAGCTCTTTCTACTACAGGGGACGATACTTAATGCCAGTATTAATAACTCATAGTAACAGGGGGAATACTGGTACATTAAAATACTCCACTGCACCTTATGAGGCCATGTAAGAGAAGTTTCACATTTAAACGTAGAAACAATGAAACAGAAGAGGCTCGATTGATTTCCTTCTGCTATGTGCTGCATCTGTTGCAGAGTGGAAGGGCATAACCTCAAACCCAGCCACGTGTGAAGCCTCCCATGAAGGGCACGAGGAAGGCACACCATGGCTTTCCTACTGCTTAGCGTGCTTTCACCCACACAAGGCTGTTGCAGCATTTTGGCTTACATGAATTTGCCCAAAAAGTTACCAAACAGCACTGGCATTGAGGGCTTGGAAGACAGAAGAACGATAAGAGCTATTTTACTTATTATCAGTGTAATATTTTTGGTTGGGAACTACTACATCAAGACAGGGCTGTGGGAAAGTGAAAAAACTTCTGTCTTCGTGTCCAGAAGACTTAGGAGTGAACCACTGGAAAACGCCACAGATGGAGATACTGAGGCTGGCGAATATGCATGTATAAAGAACATTTCAGGCTGATGTCTGTACAAGTCTCAAGTACCAAGTACGCCCCCTTCCTCGGGATGCTAGCCAAGTCAGCCCTGCCGACTCAATGAAACTACTCAGATGGTAAGGGGAGCATGAGCTCTCAACTTCAGCGAACCAAATATTTACAGATCACTGTTAAATACGCAGAAGTCAATTGCAAACTCATTTCTACTACATTGTTTCATCCAGGTACCACCCACACAAATTACAACTCCAGTCATGACATAACATTGTCATCTGCTAGAAGAGCGCTGCCTGCCAGAAAAAGCTGCCCTTGCAACGCTGCACCAGTTTGAGAGAGATGCACGCAAGGCAGGAGTGAATTAAAAGGCAGTACTGCACTGCTTTAATGCTGAGAATAAAGACAGCACACAATGCTACACTCGTCTGTATTCCTTGAATCCCTGTTACCTGAAGTATTTCGATGATCTTCAGTTTGGTATCCATTACCAGGATGTCTTCTTTCTCTGGTTCACTCTGCTTGACATTACCCTCAGGAGCAGTGGCGAGCGGGGTCATAGGTAAGAACCCACCACCTCTGAGCACCACCTGCGTCATCAGCTCACCAACTCCATGGATTGATCTCATCACATTGCTCCCTTCAGAGAGGTAGGTAAACATGTAAAGTTATGATGGTGCAACGAGACTGCGTTAACTGGGAAATAGCCCTTCACATCCCATGAAAAGGAACTGTCTCAACATTAAACAAAGCAGGTAAACACCAAAATCCCTGCAGCAGACAAGTCAATGGAGCTCCCCCCACCCCTTTTTTTTTTTTTTTTTTTTAAAAACCCTTTGCACCCCCCCTTTTTTACAGCTGAGCCTTCCATGGACGGAAAAGGGAAGGCTGGGAAACCATACAGATGTTTTGAGATGAACTGGAAACTGCCAATGGAATTCTGCATGCACAGTCATTTTTCTACTCTGCCAGTCGTTTTCCAACCTCACCTTTACTTTCCTCGCCTTTTGCCATCTTGGTAATAGGGAAGATGGTAGTGATGTGCACACAGTCCAATATAGCAAGAAGGATTTTGGTCAGTCTGAGGAGGTCACAGAAGTTGTAGAAACCAAAATATATCAGATTTCTGGCTAAGTTAACAACCTACCAAAACAACAATGAAAAGCCTGATTAATACTCAACGTTTTGTTAGTGAAATCAAGCTGTCTTAAGACAGCGAAAAGATGAAGAATCTAGCTGTGCCATATTCTTATTATAGTACCTCATAATTCTATGACACTGTATAATTCTGCATTTTATCAACAAGTTTTCAACTTGTCATCAAATATTGTAACGCCTAGAGTCAAGGTCTCTACCTGCAGCTGATATTCTGTAGCTACAAAATCATATCATATTTGTCATGTTACAGAAAAGGTAAGATATGTCAAGACCAGAAGGAACGTACAGATGCTCTTTATGGTTTTGTTTATTAAAAAAAATCAGTCTTCGACTAAAGCTTACTGTTACCAAGTAACTGAGTTTCCTCCTAAGTCCTCCAGATGTAGTGCTTCTAAATCCACACAAATAATTTGAACTGTAGTGCAAATATTTAAAGTAGCCCTGCTGAAGTACATCCCCTCCCCCCCCCTTTTTTTTTAAATTAGACGTCTTTTCTTAAAATAATTAAAGGTTATTTAGGGAACAGTACTGTGTGCATTTGCTATTTTATTTGTGCAGACTATTTTCAATGGCCCAGTAAGTCACAGGATACTGTACTGTTCTGTTAATCAGCAAGACCGTAAGCTCTAGAGAATATCTGTGCACGCAGACATAGTGTTTAGTTTAGTTTTCAAGAATATTTATGCCAGTAAAGCTTGACTTTGTAATCACACTGAGAGCAGAAAGAGTAAACAAGGCTGCTGCAAAGCTAAGACATAAGCTCACGTTCATTAATTGTATTTCAAGAACTAACACTGCAAACTGTCACAAACTTCACCGGGGTTGCTTGCAGGAGACAGGATTATACTTGAAAGGAAGAGCTTGCGGAGGTTTAGTATTCACTCATTACTTGCCAGGCTGCCTAGTACTTCAAGTACCAACATTCCACAAAAAAGGATAAAACCAAAATTGGATAGCTACCTCAAAAGTGAGTTTATTTTTCTCTTTATCAGAGAAAGGGAACCTCTGACACACCACATCTCTTAAATATTCCTCTACAAATTCCATTGTTTGTGCAAATCTCTCCTTAATTTCATCTTTGGAAGTTCCACTGCTATCATAGCTGAAGAGGGAAAAAATAAAATAAAACAAACAAAACTTAGTATGCGTATACACAGAGCTCTCTTCCCCGATACAATTTATCTGGCTTGTCAAAATTTAAGAAAAGTTAAAGGCTGTTAAAGAATTTATCCAAATGAGGGAGTCAGGAAGCTGACACCAGAATTTCCTGGCTTTTGCTGTTTTATCCCATATGCTCATTTTGCACTATTTAAAAAGAAAACAAAAAGAATTTTGTCCCAATAAAAAAGAAATTCTGAATTTTTTAAATGGAACAGTGACAAATTATGTACAACACTGAGAGCAGATATGGCCAAGAGATGCTGACTGTGGATGCCATTATTCCAAAAAGCAAAAAAAACCAACAAGCAAAACAAAAATACTAGACTTCATTTTTTTTCAGTACAAAACCTAGGTTGGTTTCCAGCGTACACAGAGAGCGTTTTAAAAACAGAATCCTCACCACTATTCAATTAGCTACCTTTTTTCCTTTTGATCACACATTACCGGGTAGGCATAGCCAGAGCGCAAGCCACTTGCTTTTCTATTTTGGCATTTAAAACTGATTATGATCTACTGTATTTTAGAAAAGAAAACTAGGTTAGCTAAGAGGGAAGAGGAGGGAAAAACAAGAAGAAACCAAGCCCCAGTGCTAATATTGAAGACTTGAAGTGCTCAGTACTAATACTGAAAAGACTTGAAGGGCCAATGTTTAAACACAGAACATTCAATTCCTTCAAATTAAAAAAAAGTTCTGAACAGATAAAGTACAATAAACACTAGATTATTTGTACTACAAAAAGTCAATATGAGCCCAAGGTCAAGAAATCCGGTCTACAGTCTAACTGTGGTTTTGTATACATTTTTACCCCATCCCAAAACACCTTCCATGGGAGGTTAAGGAACCTGACTATCTAGAACATCACCTATTTCAGCCTCTTCCCTCTAGTTTTTACTTTTGATGGTGCTAGCTACTGTATGGACAATTTACCCTGAAGTTTGTCTGTCACTAAACAAGGCAGATAAAAGGGTGGGAAGGAAAAGCAAAATACTTCCTTGCTTCTGTCCCCAGTGTGAGGTCGCATGACCAGAGCCAGAGTAGTGCTGCGATCACTCCACATTTTGGGGAAAAAGGCACCTACTACCTCGTAGTTTGCACCACACATGCGCAGGAAGGTTATTTTGTACTCAGGAAGGTTCTTTTCAGCAAATATTACAGACAAATGAAGCTACAGGGTTTGAATAACAAAAGTAGCGAAACCACTCTTGAGATTTACTTTTTTTCCTTCCCTTTTTTTGTTAAATGATGCATTAGCTTAGAATTGATCTGCTTTTGTTTAAAAAAAAAAAAAAAAAAAGAAGAAGTGATGTAATTTCCTTTCCCACACCTTCCCAGCAAGTACTCACTCATCAATAGCAATTTCAGAAGGTATCTCAGACCACAGACGAGCATACTTCACTGGCGTTACTTGTTCCTGGGGGTCACGATCAACGTGCATATGGAGCATTAGTCGGCAGAAAGATGCTCTCAGATCGTACGGCAAGTTTTCATCAGACATACAACGGAGAATGAGATCCACATCCAGCTGACCAGATATTTCATTTATGGCCAGATACTGTCGGTCAAGGCACATTCTAGCAAAGAGGTTTAGCTGGTATCTTCAGGAAAAAACACATGAACAAACAGCTCACGCTTCCATTTCCGGATAATCTACTGGGTATAGAGGTATATATATCACCTCTTGTAAGGTTCCATCTATTGATACATAGATTTTTCCAGTAACATAGCTATAATAATTACAAAAAGAACTTAAAAAAATTATCAAACTCTAGTACAAGGTAAAATAGTAGAATAATACAATAAAAGGGTCAGCATATTTTCCTGATAGTTACATACAATTAAGTAATGCTACTTATGAAAGCTATAGAAGAATTCCAAAGACAGGAACTCAGCCTAAATATTGTAGAAGATACAACACTTCTTTTTATTGATGCTCAAGCTAAAATTATTCACTTAGGCAAAGCAGATGGACTACGCAGTCATTTAAAACTAAGTACATAATTAAGCATACTACCGAGGTTTGCTCCCTTCGATCAAAAAATAGGTGGACAAAAGCTACACTTTATTCTTAAGCTTTTCAGCCCACAAAGCAAGCAAGCAATGGCATTTAAATTATGCACATTAAACCAACTGACAAATTAACCTTTAGTCGCAAAACAAACGTCCAATATTCAAGAGTGTTCATACACGCTTGTGCTGAGTACTATGAGGTTTCTTAAAAAAAAGAATTTAACTGAAAGCAGACTCCTTTTCACTCTGATTTCTCTTCAAGAGAATTTGACCAAACTGTATCCTAAACCCTTGCTCTGAGCACATGCATTAGTCTACAATGTAGAACAGAATGAATTAAGAACACTAGCAATCTTACTAAAAAAAAGCAAGAACGTCCATTCTGAAAACAGACAGATTTTTTTAAGATATATTATAAAACAGGTCTGCTTTAGAGCTCAACCTTCTAATAGGCCCAAATAAATACATCAGGAACTACATGAACCATTTCAATGTCAGAGATAAATAAAATGCATAAAATATATCTATTAAAAAAAATCTAGTACTTTCTGCATTACCACTGTTAAGTCTGTCAAACTATTTTCAGAAGTTTATAACCCAGACACAGGAATTTGGTCCGGGCTGAAACTTGATCTTACACTGTGCCAAGAACTTGGTGTCTTGTCAAGTCATCTGGAAACATCGCTTCATGTTAGAAACTGCTAAGAGCATAGTTTAAGCAGTACAAAAGCGCACTGCATTAATCAAAGCAAACTCCTTGTGGCATTTTCATGAGTTCATATATTGTCCTGCTGAGAACTACAAGACTACTAAAGGTTTTGAGGTTAGAGAGAAATTTAGCAGGCAGGGAGAAAAGCAGTAAGTTCTTTAAAAAAAATCAAACGCAATGCTATTTGCATGCTGAAATCCTTTTCCTCCTGCAAGCGCTTGTTCATCTCAACTACCATTTGAATTTGGGTAACCTAAACAATTAACATACAAGCTCTTTCTTCTTGTGAAAGCATCCATTTTATTAGGAAACCAAGCAGAAATACAGGCATTAAATGCTGCTCAATTTCCATGCACTTTAAGCCTTAACTGTTTTTTTAAAGCGAGTTTAGACTTGCTCATACTCATAACGGGACTTCTTACCTTGAATAACTTGGCACTTTTAGTTCACACTTCAGAGAGACTTCATCCTTACCCTCTAATGGCTATTTTGCCCACTAAACCAGTATCTTTCTTGAGAATCAGTTAAAACCTATGTAACTGAAGGCTTCCCCCACACAGTCTCGATGCACTTTCCTAGGCAATTACTGCATATGCTGTTAACCTGTAATAGCTGAGTACGTCCCGATCTTCCTTCTGCCCTTCCTTAGCATCCTGAGCCAACTCTCTGATACTCTTACTGCGGATTTCCTTGTTACTGTCTCTCCAGAATAGCCACACTTCTTCCTCATCTTCTCCAACTTCCAAGGCATTTTCTCCACTTGACACTTCTTCAAACTCAAACCGAGAGAGGACCAACCTGTCAGAAAGAAATGAGGTTAGATTACAGATTGCCAAGACCCATGCAGATCTGAGAACATTTCTTTTAAGACACTTGCTAAAATATACTGGCAATATAAAAGTAACTAATTCTATTCTGGTGAACTTAAAGGAACACAGAAGTCAAAAATAAGGCTAACTGACTTTTGAAAATGTCTTTACATGAGAACTGGTTCAAAGATCATTCAACAAACCAGCAAAAGATTTGGTGAACGCAATATCTAAACTTTGATCAGGTCACTATCCTATAAAGGCCAATTGGATCAGAATTTCTTCCTGCTTGTGTTTCTTAAAACTAAGAAGGTATTCCACATGTCAAATAAACCCATCATTACAAAAAGACAGCTGGGATTTGGTGCCTGCTGTAAGCTCTGGCACTGGCAGGGCAACGCTGAGAGGAGGGGACCAAAGTTCCAACAGCAGAGGGAGAAGCGAGTGTGCAGAGATGCATCTGTCTGCTTTGCTGTGAGCAGAGCACGGCAGGCACACGCTCAAAAAGTGCTCGTCCACTTCAGTCAACTTAGACAAGAGCCTGTGGCCCAGGAAAGGATCAGGCCCACAGGACCCTGCACACCTTCCGGCACAGCCTGTTGCAGGGGAGATCCCAGAAGACTTCTCTCATCCTAGAGCTTCAGAACCTTTTTAACCACATTAAAGGGGCGAGGCTTAAAAACACACACACGCCTGCAATCTCTTCCAGATATCTCTCTACTTATATCAAACGTGAGGTATCTGAAAGATTTCTGTGATCAGAGGATGGAGAATGCATCTGTCAGGCATTTTGCTCCCACCAATACCTACTTACTGTGTATTTGTGGAGGACCTCACGCCTTTTTAACTCCTTTCTTTAAACAAGCTCGCAGTGTTCTCAGCTTTGAATAACCTTCCTTCAATTTTACACTAGGAACACTATTTTTAAAGGCATTAACTTACTTAGTTTCAATGAGTATGTCTGCATTTGCTGGATTCAGTACGGCTTTACAAATCAACTCCTGTGTCACTGGAATAGACTTGTTCATGGAAACACACAGATCTGAGAGGTAATCCAAAAACCTGTTGAAAAACGCAATGCAAATGGATATCAACTCTTGTTGAGATCCTTAGACTGAAGCAATCTATATTTCAGAGAGAAAGCATTCAGAACTCCAACCTAAAGTTGCCAAGTGAGACTGTTGCCCTAGCAGGAAGTTATGGTGAGTGGGGGTGGAGGGGAGTCAACTAACATGCTCTTTTACCCATAGGTCGGCAAATACAGATTTTTCTCAGAAGACAAAGAGTGAAAGGGTAATCACTACTCAAAAATGCAGATCTCACCTGGGCTCCCTATTTTTCCTCACAAGACTAACAAAGGTGTCAATCTCAGCAGCGGTGATGTGCTTCTCCAAGAGCTTGCGATTGTTATGAAGCAGTGCTGTTATAGTGTCCTCAGCCAAGACATCATAGCCAATTTGTTTCTGCATGAAGCCAAACTGCTTGGAAATGTAATCGTAAAACTCAGAATTCAGGAAAAAAAGCAAAACAAAACAATAACAGAAGGTAAGACACCTGATAACATCAAAATCCAAAAGGAGAGAACTTGATGAGATTCTAATCCATCTTCCTCAGAGGAAGCAAACAATGACAGATAACATCTCCCTCACTCCTGAGCTGGGCATCACCGAGGCATTTATTTATCCCTATCCAATATGAGTTTGTTTTTTAATAACTGACACCAAACATACGTAGCTTAATTCACAGGTCATCTTTCAATGGAGCTTACAGTATATGTGTGTGAAGAAAGTCTTCATCTAGATTCAACAGTTATCAACTCCAGTTTTCTCAAATTCCCCTCGGAACTGGTGCTAGTTACACCACAGATAGTCTCTGATAGATGTGAAAGGTGCTAGATAGAGCAAGACTGAGAAATCCAAAAATCTTACTGATTGTAGAAGCACACCACAGCTTAGTAGGGATTAATGGGATGCAGCTTTATTTTTTGGAGCACTGGAATAACGTTAGTGCCTTTGAAAACTGCAGATATATTTCCAACCTGATTCTTCCTGTAATCCTGCTGAGAGTGTCTGAGCACTCTGTAGCAAAGCCGACATATGTGTCTGAAGGGAGCATGACGCTGATCTCCAAGTTCCTCCAGTCGCAACATTGGGCCATCACCACTGTCAGTAAATGGTGCTTGCAACAGCTTGAAAATCTATGGATTTATTAAAAGCCAAAGATAAAAATCCCAAGAGACTACGCCTTCATCTGATTAAAATTAAAGCACTGTGTCAGGGCCTTTAGGTTTTTATAAGGTATGTCAAAAGCACACTATAGTTGCCAGTTTGGTTTATTTGCTATAGAGTAGCCAATACAGATGATGCTATTGATCACCTTTATCCAATCCCATATTTGGAATGTTTCTTCCAGCAACAGTATGACTAAAGGCCACCAAGAGCCTGTTGAAAGCTAGAAACCTGCAAGGTCCTTTGGTCTCAGGAATTTGACCAGGCTCTCTATTATTAGTTTCTCTATTCCGAGAGCCCTTCTTGTAGACAGATGTTATAGGTTTAAAAACAAACAAACAAAAACCACAGCACTCTACCTGCTTTAGAATATTCTGCTCTCTCATCAGTTTTTGCCGTTCTCTATTAGGTTTAGAAAACACCACCTCGAGGACATCTTGCCCAGAATTAGTTCCACCAGTAACAAAGTAGACCAAATCCTCCAACAATTTGGTAACAGACCTACAGAAAAGCCAGAAGTTGTTAATGCAAGACTATGAATTCCATCTATTAAAAGAATAATGAAAGTGTAAAGTTACACAGATTTAAAGTGACAGAAGAACATCAACGAGATTTTAACCCAGATTTTGGATAAAAGCACATAGGCTTGAGAGGAACTTAAAAGTAGGAACAAGTACTCTCTATTGCTACATCTTTAATATTTAATAGCCAAACTGTAGTAAGATAACCATACCATTTTTGGACAACTATATGCTCACACAATTCTATTTGGCAGTTCTTTTACACTGCCAAAAAAAAAAAATCCAATGATACTCTCTTCAAGGTCAAACAAAAATCATTTACTTTAGAAGCATATGGGACCTAGCTTTATGCAGCAGACTGCACATTCTTTTTGTGCAGCCATGTACTTTTCACATATATTGTCAGAGGATTTGCAAGAAGTCATGTGTTCAGTCTTCACAAGACGGATTTATAAATTCCCACACACATTTTGCAAAGCCCATCAAGAAAGGCATGCTACGGATTATTCCTCCAAGGTTCACAGCAGTAGTTCAAGTAGTTCAAACAAGGAGGGTTTGACAGAATGCGGCTGGAGAGCCTCCAGTACGGACAAGTCAACTACAAAACTACCTTTTTTTTTTTTTTTTTAAAATCAAGGAGGAAACAAAATCCCCTCTTCCGAAGATAGTGTACATAGACATAATTTCAATGAAATAGTTACTAGATAAAGGAAATGGCATTATCTGTTCCAAATTCCTGTTTCCTTACCTTCTTTCATTCTGGGTTATTGTTCCCTTTTCCAACTTGCCAGCAATGGAACCTAAAACCTTACTTGCATCATTTGCAAAATCCAAGTCCCGGACCTCTGCAGGAGAAACTGGTACTATAGCAAAAGCTTCTTTGTCCTCTTTCACCGGAGAGGTACCAATCTAAAATCCAAAGCAATTTTATTATCAAACCAAAAGGCAGAAAACAAAGTAGTGATTCACATACACAGTGACATTAAAACAGAAAAGCCATGCTCTGAAATAGCTTCACTTGGAGACAGCATGAGACTCCAAGTCAAACTTGGAGAATGACACTATTTTCTCCTGGTTCAGGAACACCTGTAAGATGGCATGGAACAATCAGATGAGACTGAAAAACATTGCTATAAACAGTAAGAAAAGTCTCATGATTACTGACTTAAAGCGGCAATTGAAAAGTACAACTTTTGAAGTACTTTGTAAGCCTTTTAGGCATAATATTTTGCATGGCCACTATTCATTACTGTTACTCTGCTTGCTGTTTGACAAGCCTAGCAGAACTATAAGTCTCAACAGACTGCCAGTTCTCCTACCAATAACAGTTTCATGGACGTACAGGAAATAAAGGATGTACCTGTTAAAGTCACAGGACTTACTTTAAGCATCACAGGTTTTTCTTCTTCTTTATCAATAGGGATATTGGTACTGTGAACCCAAGTGTTAGTGCAAAGGTGTCTAAGTCTGACATAGGAGTTTCTGAAAGAAAGACAAAAGTTTCAGTATGAATCAGTTTCCCAGACAGGAAGTCTTAGTTGGTAGGAACAAGAGAAAAAGAAAGAAAGATAGAAAGATAAAAGAGAGAGCGTCTCCTACACATGGTACATATCGTAACAGGAATGAGACTCTTCCCTTATTTTATAATACATATATTCATCTGAAGAAGTTTTCAGTTACCCTATATAATGAAATCAACTCAGATGTCAAATAGACCTATATCTGTATTGTAGCAGCTCAGATGTCACTTTACTTCCAGGGTCTGATGGGGGTGGGGGGTGTTGGGGGGAAGAAGGTTGATAACTGAGGATGTTCCTCTGAAAATTATTTTCAGACTGACAAAGTCAGAGATACTCAGAGAATGCACAGCAAACGTGTGGCAGCAAGAAAGTTGGAGTTTGCTCTGATATGACTATTTCATAAAACGCAGTAAATCTAGCAGAGCAATCACATACATGCACGTGCAAGTACGGGCACACGTAGATGAATACCACAAGAAATATCCTAAAACATTATATAGTAACAAGTACTAAAAGGCAAGTTAAAAGACCTTACTGAACATTACTGAAACTTTCAGAAGTTTCTACATATTTGCTGGGGTCAATCTAATTCATGTTTCACAGATTATGTAACACAGTTATGAATATTAGACTTAAAAGGTCAAAAATAGGAACATCGTAGGAACTGGTATTACTAGCAACACTGAGTAATAAAAGTATTATTTGCATGTGTCAGAAGCATACATACAACCCACATCACCCGCATTCTATCATTTTTCTTCTCTGTACTGAATCAGTAGCTTTGATTAAACAGAAAGTTTTACTTCAAAAATGGATCTCTACTCTGAAAACTTGCTCTTAGCAGAAGCAACATTTGGCGAACGTCTGCAATATCACCAACTTACTTAAAGGCCCAGAAAATACACCAAGTTACTGCTAGTTAGTGAGATGCCCCATGTCCACGAAAGGATTTATGACGGTGCTTTCTGCCTCACATTCGTGACATATGAACAAGGACATACGCTACAGTAACTCAACCGCTGCAACTCAGCTGCTGCACAGCAACACACGAAATTCATCTTTTTAAGAGCATCTCCAAATCCTCCCATTTCTGCATGGTATTGTATATCTGAGCTGTTAGCTTCGTCCCATAAGCCTGTTATTCTTTAATCCGTAACTCCCTGCTCTCTATTGTGCACTCCATAAGCTGAGAATTTTTACACTAGCTGTACAAAGAGCCAACGTCATACCAGCATCAGAGGCCCGTTACAGTGCAAGAACACATGACTGGCATTCAACAATTGTCTCTAACAAATTTCTGTGAATCTTTGTCTGCAGATAGCAGTTCCCAGATTGAGTTCCTCAAGTATTACTGGCAATGACACTGTTCTGCACGAACCAGCTTTTGGATAAAACATGGCAGGCCACAGTTGGATGAGCATTTTTGGCCAGCATGTAAGACATCTCTCCACTGCAGTACAACCGCCTTTCTCCACACAACTGTGGCAGCCCAAAGGAAGCAAGAGGCAATTGCTGCGTTTGGTGGCCATGTGAACTCAGCACAAGTGAGTGTATTTGATAATCCAAAGGCTCACTGGGAGAAATTGAGCTGAATGGGCATGCCATGCTTTCCTAGTAGGAGCACACAGCAAAGAGCCTTTAGTCCGGCTGCATATCGTTGAAGTGCGCAACAGTTTTAAGCGGCAAGAGGTACATACGAACACTTAGCTAACTGTAAAACAAAGAACGACCGTGTCAGATACTCTGTATTATGTCCTAGCAAACACAACACACACAGGTCATACAATACACGTTATAGGACACCCAAAGCTTTAGTTCCAGTTCTTTCACTGGCAAGAAAGTTGCTTCATCTCAGTTTTCTCAACTGCAAAATGAGGTTTTTGTTTTTTATAAGTCCATTGCAAGGTGCCTTCTAGTCTACTAATGTAATGTTCTAGGCATTTGTAAGAATTTGTATTTAATTTGAGGTAGGTCCTTAACTCAAAAGGAAAAAAACATAGTGGGAAATAGCTTTATCAAAAAAACAAAAACAAAACACCCCCCCAAAAATCCAGTAACTGCCAAGGCAGGCGGGCAGTTCTAACAGTATGCTTAGCTATACCTGGGAACAAGGCTGTCTCCTCCTCGCAGTGTTGTAGGGTCCAACTCAAATATGGAAGAGATATCATTTCCTTCAGGCACGGACACCAGGGAGTACGCCATCTTCTCCTGAGCACTGAGCAAGCCTCTCCTGGAGGCATCCTGCTCAGGATCCAGCTGTGGAAGAAGTCCCATCACACAATTAGACCAAGCTCTGCAGACCTACCTGCTTAGTGTTAAATAAACATGTCCTGTAACCCGGAGCCATAACTCTGAGCCACTCTAAGTACTAGTAAAGACAGCTCTGCTTTAGGACACTAGAAAAACCGACAACTAGCTGCTCTTGCCAAACCCTTCTTTGCCTTCCCTAGTGTTGATAACTGAGCATTTCTGGATTATAAACACAATAAATCCTAAACAGCAGAGGTTGGGTCTTGCAGACAGTGCCAGAAGAGACTCAAAAACCCCTGGCCACTCACCCCACAGCGCGCTGGGAACTCTGACTAGTTTCAGATGACCCACATCTGCCACAACCTAGATACTACTGGCTTTTGAAATGTATTTCATGCATTGCAGTTATCACTCTAAAAAAAGTAACTTAGTGAGCTGCGAATATAAACATCAGCAACACTATTTCCCAGCAAGACTGTCGGTACGTAACAAACTTGGGCAATAGAAATGGGACTCGCACCCCTCAGTCACAGACAATGGAAGCAAGAGCTCATCAAGTAGTTAGCTGTCTCACTGTTTACATGTCAGCTTATGATGCACTCCAACACATGGATCCGCTATAAAGGACAGGGCAACAGAAAATCTGAATTTCTAAGGTGCCAGTAAATTACCAGCCTCTTATCAAAGTAAAGATACTAACATCAACTGAGTAAATAAAACTTTGGACTTTTAGAAGAAAGGACAAAAAGTCAGGAAAAAATAAACTGGGGAAAAAGGAACCACAACTTTCTCCAAAATCTTTCCTAGGGACTAGTTACCACTAGTCAATAAAACAAAGTTACTAACTGACAAAATGCAAGAGTCAGCTGCCCACGTATAAACATTTAAATCCTAGCTGTAATTTTCAAACTGATCAAGCAACCAATTCATTAGCTTCGTCTGGATCTTGGCACCAGTCAAGGCAGGCACCCAAAAGGCCTAGCGAGGAGCCAGCACTTAAATACCTGTCTTTCAAAGTCTTCATGTAAGGCACTACAATATTTAAACATGCAGAAAGTCTTCATGATGTTACTTGTGCCTCAGGAAACTCTGCAGTTAACACATTTGCAGTCAGTGAACTTGGCTGCAAAGCAGCGACATTTAAAGTCTTTGCTTTTGCACATTCAAACAGAAAGTTAGCTATATGGAACAGAAATACACATTGGGAATGTGTCCTTCAAAAGAAGGAGCAACTATACACTCAAAGGAATCCATCTGGAGGCTTCAGACCAGGAGAAATTTGCTCACTTGGAATGAATTCTCCGCCTCAGCTGCCTCCTCCATCCCCACAATAAGGCAGCTGCTCTATTTTCACAATTTGCAATACCTTTGGCACTTCAGGAGATAAACTGGTCAATTACAGAAATCACAGCAAAGGTGAACACAATGAACAGTAATTTAGGAAGTCAGAAGCGAGGCAATTTAGGGAGAACTAAAGCTTCAACCATCAAAAGAATTCAATTTGACAGAAGCAGTTCCCTGTAATGTTGAAAGGGTCCTAGCTGGATTATCGTCCATGCTCATTTAAGGGTCATCCCTGTACAGCTCGCTAAGGTATAAGGAAAAAAAACAACAAAACACCGAGCTGTACAGAGAAACTTGCAGTCTTGCAGACAGCTCACACTTGCATAAAGTCACTGTTTCAAAGCAAGAATAAGCAGCCCGCACCATCTTGTCACCAGCAAATTTTCAACTATGCCGAAGTCAATTATGTGCTTCCGACACTATTCTTTATGGTCTATTTTTGCCACCTAGTGGTAAAGAGACAGCAGGAAAAAAATCAGCACAAGTCTGAAGCCAGGGCATTATCATTATTATTGCACTAATTATCGGAAGGAGATATTGGCATGATACGGGTACGAAAGGTATCTACAGAAAAGACAAAAACCTTCACACTGATTAACTTTCAAAAAATAAAAATACCACAGTATTTTTTTTTCCCCCCTCTCTGGAATAACAACTTTGCAGATTTTTTGTTTGCGTTGCTTCTCATTTTTCCAGTATGTTTACCAAAGTCAAGCTGTCAGAAGATCAGCATCTGCTGCAAAATACTACTGAAAAATTCTCTACACCAAGAAATAACAGTTAAATATCTGAGGGCAAAGGTTATCTTTTTCATGGGTTGCTATGATGAAAAATCCTTTTAGGAGGAAAATTCCTCCCTACTGCACTTTAAAGCATCACAGTGAGCTCACCTCCTTTTTAAAAAAGGGTTGAGCAGTTCTTTCTCATTTCCGAATGGAGCAAGTCTTCCATAACACAGGATAATGACCAAGAAATACAGGCTTCCGCATAAACCTTCGATCTAATCCAACTAAAAAACGTAATCCACAACGGAAAGTGCTGTTCCAATTCTATCTGCTATCAACCACCGAAGCAATGCTGTTTCCCGTTGACGTCAATGAGAAGCTTCTACTCGCCTTAAGCAGCGGCAGCATGCTCTGGCTTTGATAAAACAACGTTTACGGAAAAGGACACAAACTTGCTTTCACAGGAAAATCAGAAGAATGGCATTAAAATCATTCTCACCCTGCCATTCTTGCTCTTTAGACCTTTTATCATGGCTTTCCTGTGACAAGTTAAAACGAGAGAAGGAATTCATTTATTAAATAAGGAGGTCAGATGACTGACTGGCACAGCACTGCATGAACATCCCATTAGGGACACTTGCCATCTGGCGTCATCTTGAGCAACTTGCTTTTCAGACCTATGGAAAGAGAACGCCTCAAGGAAGCAAAGGTTTATGAAATAGGAAGACAGAAGGAGAGATGGTACGAAAAGCAGGGGAGGGGGGTCCAAATAACATTTAAGATTTGTTCAAAGAGCATTGCTCTTCACTAAAATCTATTCCAGTATTTAACATCCACTCCTTCTAGATAGGCCTTAAAAGCCTTCAGATGAGTCTTTTTTTTTTTTTAAAGCTTTCTTCACTAGCAAAAAAAAAAAGTCTGGAGCATCTATGCACTGGCCAATTAAATACCAAGGCCTGTGTCAAGCCCTCCTCAATTAGGGGCAAGATCATACTCTTGCCTATACTTACTGAGGATTGACACTCCTGGTCATCTTCCTCATAGTCAGGGTTTACCTGATGAAACAGAATCACAGGCATGTCAAAACTCTAATAGACCTGGAAGTGGGAAACAACCTCAGCAAGATCTAAATTTATATTGTAAAAGATGCAATCTTTTCTACTGCTACAGAACTACCAGACATGCAAAACGAATATACTTCACAAATGGATTCATTTTTAATTGTCTGTCTGTCCAAGAATTAAGCAATTAAGTAATCTGCAAACACGCAGAGCGATTTAACTAGTTCAGGATAATCCCTAAAGAAGCAAGAAGGGTAGAGAGTTACCAAGTTTGTTTTTTTTAAATCCCACATGGAATTTCAAACTAGCTCTAAAAACTGCTATGACTTGGAAAATCTCTTAGAATAAATACCATTCTAACTGTGGATCAACCAAGCAATTTCCTCCCCTATGTTTTTGCATGATGTAAGATCATGGTTTTCTTTTGCTTTAGCTGATTAGTGAACCCAAGATTTACTGGTAAAGCTCTATCATGGATCACTACTGAAAAGAATGTGTGTGTGCATGTGACAAAATGCTGTTTCACAATCTGAAAATTAGAAGAGTATAAAACGGAATATTTAATCTGGATGTTTTCCACTGGAGCTCTCAAGTCAAGAGCATGGGCCAAGACAGCCGTTCCACCCTGCTATGTGCTCTTACATCTAGGACATCCTTTACTTACACAGGTTTGTGTATTGACATGTTGATATGTCTATGCTCTAAAGTAAACAAAAGTAATTTTAACAAACATTTGCAAGCATTAAGCAGTAAAACTCACAAAACTATAATCTCCAGCTTGCTTTGGAGCTTTTATATTTTTTATAAGATGTCTTGAAGTTTTGAAGATTGGCAGGGGAAAGAAGAAACTCCACTACAGAGAGAGAAACAGACTTGCTTATTTTACACTTAAGACAGCTAAACATTATCAATAGCTCTTATAAGGCTGGTCTGAACCTTAACTGCATTTCCATTTTACAGTCAGCTCTACGATTCTCTTCGGAAATCATTGATTTGAGAGAAACTAACAGCAGTTAAATTCATTTCCCCCAAAAGGCTCTCAGCCATTTACAATTTATTCATCTATTAATAAATTCACCTCGATTTCTGCTGCCCGCATGACAGGATGCTATTTCTGGTCTATTCTTTGCAAGAGAGGAGTTATTGCCTCTAGAATTCATATAAAAAGTGCAATGAGCTCAACGCTATCCCTGTACTGCAGTATTCTTTTAAGTCTTTTCCTTTGTTTCCCGTGCCTAGCCCTCTACTTTCGCATTAATACCAAGGGCCCAAATACCCCTCTCCTTCCCTCATCTGCTTCTATTTTTAAGTTGGGAAATGAGAGATTTTCAGAAAATATAAAAGGAAGAAAATACTGCGGAAGGAAAGGCAGAGTTCCTAAGGAAACCTCCAACACCTACCTCTGCTGCTAAGTAGTGTCCAGTAGCAAGATGTTTGAACCTAAAAAGGCTATTCCAGTATCCTGCGCCACCACGACAAGGATCATGCTGCACCACCTGTAAGGACAGGGAAGCCAGATTTTCACTACACACCACTGACCTTCCTTTTCAAATACTCTTGTATTTCACCTACATTAGGAGGAAACAGAATAAGAACCACCTTCAAAAAAAGAAAAAAAACACCTTTCATGTGTGAACATCATATTGTACAGCACATACCTCAAGCAGACTGCCATTAACTCACCTCCAGAATTTAAGAACTTTCATTTTTTTGTAGGTAGAAAATGAATTAAAGAAGCTTTAGAAATATATGTGTTGCTAGGTCTTGAAGAAAGAAGAGGGGGGGGTGGGATGGGGAAGGAATCTTCCTAGAAAGATGCATCAGATCCTTTAACTTCTTAATATAGTTAGGGTTTTGACCTTCAGAAAGTGGGGGAGGGAAGACACCTGGAAGTGTTTCAAATGTAACAGTACTGTACAAAATAATTTTAAGACTGTCATATATAGTCTCAAATTTCTCCTGTGGCAAGCAGAACCTCCAACACCAGACGCTCAGTTACTGCCTATCAGCCACTCTTTGGGTACACCTACTTTCTTTGGGAAAACCCAGCATAGCTGACCCCTGCCTCTCAGGGAAGGACTAGCTAACCTCCAACTGCCTATCCAGCGTTTATCACAGGGCAACTGCATGCACATGGGCAGATACCACAGGAGCCATTGATCTGTTGTCTCAAAGCTCTTAAATTACAGGCAGGCTCTCAATTAGAATAGGCGAAAACCTGTACATCAAACCAGATATGTCTGGAAAAAAAGAACATGATAAATACCTATCCACCATTACAATAACAATTACGGTTCTCACAGGCAGGTCGCATGACAAACATTTAAAAGCATAACTATATACATCTCTATTTTAGCCTAATACCACCAATGGGGGGGCTTTAAGAAGCCTATGATGGCCAAGACGTTAGTCATTCTATTTAAAAGCCAATTAAAGAAAATATAGTCCAGGTAAACAGTGCACAGAGACTAGCAAAGAGGTGTAATCTATCAGATGAGGCTGTGCACACTCACAATATTAAATATCAAAAACAGTGTGCTCAGTACACACAGCAGTTAGCTGAAATTATTAGCTAGTTTTGGATTTTAGCGACTGGTGAGAAAATGACTTCATAGGTGCTTCTCTGTCCCCTTTTCTGAATCGTCAAGGACCTGTTACGAGAGCAATCTGCTGCGGCATTAGAAATCAGAACTAAGTTTTCATTTTGCAAAAAAGAAAGCACAGTAAGTAAAGGAATTCTAAGATTAAACTTCAAATGCCAGCAGGACTTGTACTTAAAAAAAGAAATCTAAGCATATAGTTTTTAAACAGAAACAGTAATTGTTACTGCATAGCCACCCCCAGCCTTGGTTACCATTCTTACCTCTACTTCCCACAGTGCTTTTGAACTCGTTGCAGAAGTGGCTGACTGCCTCCCTGTAGTTCTCAGGAAGACGTGCTGCTTCTTCCTGTGCTCGTCGCAGGTCAGAAACTTCTCCTGCTCTGCATGAAACAACCTCACCACATCCCCCTGCCAAAGCCCAGACAGCATGATCAATACGGACATTATGCATCCCTGAACAAGTCACGAGCAAGTCAAGTTTTGACTCTTACCCCTTTAAGAATATCATCTTTATTATCGCTCCATTTCATGAAAAGGACTATCTTCCAGCTTGTATTGCAATTCACAGAGTTGACCTAAAAGGAGAACTAAAACCATTAGCCACACTGCATAAGATACTGCCACAAGCTACTGCCTTACTTTTTAACGTGATTTTCAACAGAATACTGCAGTCCCTGCTCTATTAGAAAAAGAAAGTCACTCCTGCACTCAGGCCTGAAAAAGTAACTACAGAGTTAACTTGTCAGAAAGCAACTTGCTTCAATAGTCATGGTACAATGATGTGTATTTGAAGAAAAAATCTTATTTTTCTCTATCTGCTGCCAATCAAGCAAAGCAGATCAAACTCGAATCTTTGCCTAGGGCCCAACAGATAGGAGAAAAGTCTGGTAGCTTTATTAAGGTACTGAGTTACCAGATAGCTGTTCCAAAACAATGCTACAGGCACCCACCAACATAGTCATTGAGAACTTAATTTTCATAAAACACAAGTCCTAGCAGCTTTGCTGAAACATACAGAAGTTTGTACAGTCGTTGCAAGCTCCTGCACTACCAGTTCAATCGTTCTGCCCTTACCTCATTGCATCCTGGATTATCGACAAGCTGATGACTACTGGCATGAAGAGGCTGGCCAGCATTGACAGGGTTCAGGACTACTTTGTCTCCAATGACAACCTGCAGATAAGTACAGTATCAGACACAAACTTGCAACCAGAGAAAACTTTATTTAATGGGAGTGAAAAGAGGAAATCACCTTCTTGCAGGTTGCAGAGATACCAGTCTGAGTATGAAAACCAGAATTCTGATTGCTCCAGAATTCAGTTTACCATATTCAGTCATTCAGGCAGGAAAAAAGGCCTATGCTCCTGGACTCCAAGGCTTACAGAGAGAACACAGTCTACAGTTCTGATAACTCATTCGTTACTTTTCATGCAGTTGTTTCATTGGTTAATATTTAACAAATAATTCCTATAGCAAAAGGTCAGTCAAAACCCCTCCTCCTTCAAGATGCCCTCTTCATTTGTAAAATCAGATTCTCGACCAGACTGGCATACGACTCAAGATAAATATACTTTATTATGGACAGTAAAGGTCCTGTGCTTCCCTTCTTTCAGGGTAAAGTCTTTCCTAAATTAAAAAAACAAAAAGGCTTTCTCTGTACTGACAGGCACTGCTCATTTTGATAAAACGTTTGCAAACATCAGTGGGAACGAAAAGGGCTTAATGACCACTAAGGTTGCATTAACCTATGTTTTGGCTTTACCTAGCTTCTGTGTAGAAAAGGAACAGTTGCACCAAAATATATGGGGCTAGTCTACTAACTAAATTTTTCCTTTTTGATAAAGTCCTCTGTGTTTAGCTGCCAAATATACGCCTGGACTATACCACAGAGCATACTGATTCTTTTGACCTCTCCTGATTTTCGGCAGATCGTCTACCCAGGTGCCTCAGATTTGCACAAAACAGATGAATAGACTAAAACGGTTATGCATTCCATTCAGAACCAATTACTTTCCAGAGTTCCCACAAATAACAGGACCATTTAACCTCATTATTACCTCAATCCTCAAATATAAAGTTACGATGGATTTTGATTCAAAATTGACAACACTGAAACCCAAGATGCTAATTATTTGTTCTAAATCTCCTGAAGCAACTCAACATTTCCTACCATTTTGAAGTGGACAGGAATTCCGAATGCTATTGTAGTTAGGTCCCTTATTCCTTCCTATGTTAAATCATTCCTTGTTTCCAAAATACTAGTTACCATAGTAGTTTGCCTCCCCTTCATTACAGCACAGGAAAAAGGTTGTTGCTGCAACATTACACACTAAACAAAAAATCTGCGCATTTCATTAATTGCAAGAAAGAGCTCCTGCAACAGGCTTTCCCAAGCCTTGCACAAAACAGTATAGGAAGATAACAACTCTTCTTAGCACTTACACTGTCTCCAATGGAGCGTAGCTTGTAGAAGGGCTGTATGTAGAACCAGGAACCTTCATTCCCAGCTTCATCCAAGGTCACCCTCATAGCATTCTTCTCTAATAGAGCTGGAAGCCTCTTATTTACTGTTAAGTATTTGTTACTTTTTAAATGAAGCAGCTAGAATAAGAATTAGAGTTCAGTTCTAAGAATGCTCATATCTCCTCCCCTCAATAGATATTGAGTATGCATAAGACAACCACAATAATATGCAGAAATTAAGATAAAAGTTAAACAAAGTTATATAAACGTTAAGATAAATGCAGGCACAATTCCACTGAGACATCTTTCAGTATACAGACGTACAGCACAAAACGTTTTCAGTTAATATACCCATCCCTTCTCCAGCAAAGGATGGATGCACATGAAAACCCATGCCACTTTATGACAGATTGCTCAAAAATACAGGCTCAAAATATTACAAAAGCAGTTGTTTTCCCTAGTTGAGAAGGGAGTGGTGAGAAGTAAGGCTGCTCTTCAGCTGCTTTGCTTTTCTGATTTGCTTAACAGGAAACCTCACTCTTTGAAGACTCTTCAAAAAATCCTGTTCTCAGACCCTCCACCGTATAACTCACACGGATTATATACAATCAGCATGTAAATGTAAGCTACAAGAGGTCACACCCTAGTTCCTACCCTGTTCAATTCAAATCAACAGCTGCTAGATTTTCAGTACATTCTGCAAACAAGAAGCACTCTCACACAGACAGCAGCTTTTTAATGCCTTTTAACTACTGGGTGACCCTACTTGAGCAGGGGGGTTGGACTAGACGATCTCCAGAGGTGCCTTCTAACCTCAACCATTCTGTGATTCTGTGACGCTGAAATGGTGGTTACTTGCAAAACACTTCTACCACAGGGAAAATACAGGCGAAAACCTAGCACTCCTCTTAGTGTTGATGCTTGTAGTCTGATCGATTGAAAATAGATACTGCCATCTTTCTTTCACCATGTGATGAAGAGGCTGGCCAGCATTGACAGGGTTCAATTAAAAGTGGATATTCTGCCTCAAACAGGCAGGCCAATAGCGTGCTTAACTCAGCCCAGGAATGCATTCCCTTGCCTTTCCTCCCTTCAGGTTGCTCCAAAGACTGCAATTGCTTTAAAGGACAGCTAGCCAATACCTCCTTACAGCAATAAAGCCTGTCTGTGCTCCTGGCCACCCTTTCTGTTGTTTGGAATTACGTCAACAGAACAAAAGTCAAAATATTTGTACAGGAATTTCTTAATCTAAGACTCAAAATGCTCAGGTAACTTCCCTACTTCTAAAGCACTGAGATATTCTACTTAGTGGAAGCAGGTCTGTTCTGGTTTCAGGGTGAACCAGCACCCACTGCAGATGACACTCCCCATTTAAAGACACGTTCTTCTTTAATTACGCAACTATTATACTTTCCGTTTTCTTGGTTTTGATGTGTGATTTCAGTTTCTTTTCACTCCCTGGGACCTAGTAAATTCTTTGCTTAAGTGGACTGCAATTATTCAGATGGCTTGCTTCTCCTGCTTTTGCCAGTTTATTATTTGGTATGTCAACATTTGACTGTGTGAAACAGGGTTTGGAACAACATTGTTCTTTGTGTGCCATCTTCCAAATGGCCAAGCGCAAAAAGGCACAGAAAAGAAATACTCCTGAAGAAAGCAAACACATGGTGACCTCAAAAAAAGCACAACTTACCCACAATAAAATAAACAATAAAAACACCAACCACCTTCTTCAATGCCCTCCCACAGTTCACAGCCATAAACACAGTTCTTGCTTTACAGGATCACACTTCAGGACTCTGTCAGACCATGCAAAGCTACATGCTCTTGTCTATGAATTTCACAACTTCACAGTCAAATTGAACAAGGGATTTTGAGCAAAATCCTATATAGCGTGCAAAAAGGCCCACAACCTACCTGGATGACATTGCCGTACTGGATAACTGTTCCTAGCAGCTTTCTGTTTTCAGTTTCATTCTGTTTCTTTTCCAAATCTGCTGCATGCTGAAATTAAAGGAGGATAATTCAATCACCAGCTGTTTTATAAATAGCGTGGGTCAAACACCCCAGGTTCTGTAAAAGTATCTCATAGGACTGGAAAAAAGGAAAAATTTGAAGCTGTGTATCCAAATCCCTTTCTTTCTGAGTTTTTCAGGAAAATAGAGCGCGTACCATTAAATGATCCTATAGATGAAGCAGCAACAACATGGAATCCATATTCTTACTTAAATCTGACAAACTTTTTGAATAAAATACGAGATGAAAAGCTTTTATCCGAAAACAAGCCACGAGAAGATAACAAAACATCACCATATGGAGGATGAAAAGGAAAGGTGACAATTCAAGTCACGAAATCCATATTCCTTTCTAATCGACTTCTATATAAAATGAAAGGACGCGATCTCAGCTTTGGTCCTTTATTTAACTTTGCCAAGATAGGCCCCAACTCTTCCACTCTGCCTTTTTATACAGCAGCTCTCCTCACCATCATCATTCAACAGGACTATTTACATGACATTTACATACACCTGCTGCAGCTCCAAACATTTGATTTCCCAACTTCCCTACATCACAGGCTTCAGACTTTATTACCAAAGGATTCTCGGTGCTACTTTATAGTCTGCCCATGACAATACAGCTGTGCATTTCTGTATCATACTAACATGGTAATAAAAGCAAAAGCATCCGCACAATTGAATGACCACAGTAACACAATTCTATTTAATCAAACCTAATTTAATACAATAATCAGCTCTTACAAAAACTGCTTTGTCATATGTACTCTGTATAGTCACTATTCTCTTGAATTGTGTTTTGTACTAAAAGTGAGGTATTGAGCCCAGGTTGTTTTTAAACCATTTCATGGGGTAAAGAAATTCTCTCTCATTTCACATGAAAGATGGTTTTTTTTCCATTTAAAAAAAAATCTACATTTACTTTAGCAGATATGTAGCTGTACAGAGTAATTTAAATATAAATTTTTAGAAAGCTATGCATGAAAGTTTATGGTTTGGTTCTCAGATCTCTAGGACTATGCTAGGTCTGGTTTCTCCTTGGAGGAACTGTGGGCAAAGTTTCTTGCCCTAACTGTAGAGAGGCAAATTTGAAGAACGGAAGAGCATGCGACAACGTTTAGTCACTGCAAAGGAAGAGCTTTCTGTACGCTGTTGGAAGTTTTGTCATCTTCAGCTTACATCCAATTTGCTATTTTTAGAAACTCTGCTAGACAGGATAGCTGGCTTTTTCTCCAGGAGAACCTGGAATACAGCTGCTCCTCTAAATTCCAAAATATATTCAAAATTATAATCAGGACAGTTTCCTTTTTATTATTGAAATAAAACATTATTTCTGCTCAAGTTCAAAATATTCTGTCAAGAAAGGACTTCTTGAAGTAAGTACTAGAAGCCCTCAACTATCAGCAACAACGTGAGAGGGCTTCCATGCCGGCACAGGGCTGGGCGCCAAATTTATTCCAAAGGAAATTTATTTTATTTTATTTTATTATTATTATTATTTTTTAAATAGAATACATTAAGATTCGGGATACATTTCAAAAGCACCTAACAAAGCTGACAATGCTACCTGTGTCATTCAAGAAGAAATAAGCATTTTCTCTGGCCGCTAGATGTCAGCTTTTCAAACAGCATTGAATTCCTGACACCAAAGAAAGACAAGTGTCCCAGATTTTAAATCCCTTAAATGGCATTAACTTAAAATAACCCGACCTCAGCATTGAGCACTCCACAGTAGATAATAAATTCCACCAGTAGACAAACAGAAGCCAAAAAAGGCAAGTGATGATGAATACCTCTTGGATCACCAATTTCATTAAAAATTATATGCATTAAAAATCACACGATAAAGAAACCTAATCATGGGCAAAGGCAACAGCTGCACATATGTTTTGGGGCATACCCTTCCCCTCTCCCCCAGCCCCCAGACATACATTATGCAAAACAGGTTTTTTAGTATTTTCCATGCACCAATAAATGGAAAAGATGACACATGTACCATATAATTGGCAGAAAACGAAGTTCTGATATATGAATGATGTACATGGGACCAAATTCTTTTAAAGCCATGCAGCAGCCCCAGGTCATCAAAGACCCGGTTTGGCACACGCTACAGAAATCGGCTTAGCTTTTATGTGGAAGCGATGTGTTTTAAACCATCTCCAAAAGAATTGTAAAGTAATCAAATCCTTTCATCAAATCAAGTAAGCTGTTCCTGCATGGTGGCACATCTCAGTATAACCACCACTCAGCTGTGACTAAATATTGGAAAAATCTAATCCTGGACTTCCAACAGCAAGTTGAAACGGTTAGATATTAGCCTGTCAGTCAGAAGAGGAGGAACTGGTCCCAAACCCCTGAACTGGGAAGTACTGGGGAAAGAGATGACAGCTTTAAATGACGTTGTAACCCAGCACAATTACAAGGTATTTTTCTTCAACATGACAGTATTTAGAGCACACTTTTCTGTAAAATACATAAATGCACACCTATCTTGGGGGGATAAACTGTCTTTTCCTCTCCCCTTCCCTTGCACACCAAAAAAACCAAAGCCAGAGTCATCTGGCACTTAAAGCTTGAGACTACAACAGTATTTTCTTTTGAATCATCATTAAAGGGACAGGAGAAATGAGGCATAAGTGAGGAACCTTTGTGCTACAGCCAGTACAAAAATAACTTTCTCCTTGCCAAGTTAATACTTTTATAACCTAGAAATATGTTTTCAAAAGCAAAATGAGTCAAGCGCTCAGTCTTTGTGAAACGCAAGAGTAAGGCAGCCATATGGCAATCAGCAAATGGCACTCTCCTACAGGGCCCATTTTATATTTCAGTCTACAATGAGCTTAATATAGGCTTTAAGACACTAAAAATATTTAGAATTGTAATTCTGACATGAAGTACTCTAGCTATGTAATTTTAAGACAAACATGTAGTTTATTTAACTCTAAAGTCAACAGATGGTATTTAAGTTACTTGGCTTTTTTTCCTCCTCCTCCCCTCCCCCCTCTTTCTTAAGGAACTCTAAAAACAGCAATCAGCTCCCTAACTGGGTTTTCAACTGCTGAATGCCAACATTTTACCCGTAAAAATACTGAAGACTGAAAGTTAACATGGAAGGAATTTTGTGGCCTCATAGTTACTCTGGTCCTAAACCCATAAACCTTCACATAGGTTAACGGCAGCAATATTTGCGTGATCTATCAGACAAACTGCTCAGACGGTTGGGTATCAGCACAGCGAGCTCCCATGACTTAGGTTGTTGAGATATGATGCCCGAGAATCGACTCTCCTCTGTAGTTGCTTGAAGGGTCACATTTTAATACTGTTACCGCTCAAAACGTCCACGTAAAGCACTACCATAGTTAGCGCAGGTTGACGACTAAAGCGTTCACGGCCACCACAGCACTAACCCAATGTGGTGCAGATCAACGGCAGGACACACAGCCCCGAACAACCTGTCACGGGTCAGAGGTTGTTCAGAGCTTTAGATCGCAAGGCATGTCTCAAAAGGATTTCTGCATGCGAATTTATATAGGCTTTTTCCGTGTTCTCTGCTTAAGGGTGTCAAGTTTGCTGGACGTACTTATTTTAAAGCAGTATGGACGAGCGTGTTTTACGAGCAACGGCAGCCTAACCATTAATACTTACATGCAGTTTATTGAGCAGCACTGCATCTGTTGTGCTGTTAGCTCCTGGTTTTGCTGCTTTCCAGAACTGCTTTTGAGCAGAGTACCGGTTCATAGGGCATAGTTTAAACAGGCAATCTATAAAAACATATGAAATAGAGAGATTGCTTCAGCCATTCATAATTATCTGCGTTTTTATTGCTAAATTGTCTGAACATTTCAGCAACAAGGAAAGGATTATAAACAAATTCTACAGAGCGCTTCATCAGGCAAACGCTTTTTTTGGGCAACAGGAATGCTGCCCCATGAATGATAAAAATTAACGGTCGCTGCCAAACTTCTGATGCAAGATCACAAAACTTTAAAGTAACTTGTCCCTGTCAAAAATCCTACCATACTGAAATAGTAATACTTTCAGTGCTTTCCCAGGCACATAGCTTTGTTTTTACAAACATTCAACTTTTAGTTTTTATCCTTTAGCAGTAACATTACTTCACGTAATTAATATTAGGCTTATGAGATTTATATTTTTCATCAAATCCTTTCTATTGTTGGGAAAACAAGGCAAAGAAAATCAGAGACGCTCACATAATAAAAGTAGCAGCAGCAGCACAAAATACTTCAGAATAACATGAGGCAAACGCAAAGACAGACATTCAGCGCACAGCTCGGAGGTGTCAGCTTCTTTACTAAGTTCACGGACACTGTTCATTTAATATTCTGCCCGGCAAAAGTCAGGAGCGACAGCTGATCAGTCTTACTATAAATATATTTTTCCATTAATGAGATGCTCACTTATCAGTAATGAAACTAAATGGGCTGCATTTACTATTTTTTCCTCTTGGCTGTTGCTAAGCAACTGGCAACGCAAAAATTACATGAAGCTACTCAAAGGCAGCGCCTTAAGTAGCAGCTGAGAAGTTTAAACCAGGTGCCCAAACCCCAGGGCAGCTGCTCCCAGCACCCCGCTGGCAACGGGGCAGAGCGGGGCGGCAGGCCCCGGCCCGTATTTCTAAAGGCTCCTGACGCACGCTAACAAGCGCGTGCTGCATCTTGGGCAGCAGGAGGCTAAGGAGAGAGCTATCTTTGTTCTCGCTGTTTAAAAAGCATGACTTTCGCCCTGCTAACAGACACGCATCAGACACTCGCTAACCAAAAGGGAACAAAACCCACCGCGAAGACGCACCATCTCCGCTCTGCCACAAGCTGAAGTTGCTGTGGAGACGTAGCCCCACTCGGACACAGCCCAAAAACGTGACCTCGCTGTGCCCTTGCAGACGTACCCCTTCACACTTGTCCGGTCCGCTTTCTTAAGGCGAAACATCCTTTGCCATTGCACAGCTTGCCCGTCTAACCCACCCTCAAAGTAACCGCAGGGCACGTCAGCCAGCATCAAGCGCCTCTGACCAAAGGGTAAAGTTCTTCACAACTAAAACCCCTTCCCGATGCTGTGAAGAAAACAGCGGCAGATTTTCATTTCACCTGAGAGCAAATCTTCAGCTGCCAGACTGGCCGGTAACACAGGCATCGCTGCAAACGGCGGCGTTTCCCACGGTCTACTTAGCTGGCAGGCCCAGGCGGCCAGTAGAAGGAGCTGGGTACGGTACTGGGGACCTTTAAAGGAGTTACGCATACTGGGCAAGGAGCGAGAGGAAAGACGGGAGTATAGCTGTCCTTGCAGTCGCAGTCTCTCCTGTTGACATTTCCAGCACAGCAACTAGGACACAAGTGAAGCAGCTGTGCTAGGAAGGCGACAACAGGAGGGGGAGCGCGGAGCGCTGCAGCTGGCCGGCCTTGGACGCAGGGCGCACGGGGCTTCCTTACTTCCACCGCTCCCCGAACAGCCTGCCTCACCGGACGGCACAAGCCGCCAGTCACCCCGAGAGAGAACACGCAGCTATTTTTACACTGGAAAATCAACTTCGGAGTCCATCCTGAACAACGCAGGCTGAATCGGGAGGAGCACTGAGAAAAGACATGCGATATTCAGGTGGGACAATTTTGCTGCGATTCCTTCTGGCCCCAAAGATAAGGGCTTTGGGAGAAACTGAGAGGCCGCAGTGGTAACATAAGGCACAGGGTTACAACTATAAACCAACCCAATTTCCAGAATCAGACTGGAATGAGGAATTATCTACTTAGCCAGAGTGGTGGGTTTTTAAAAATAGTCAAGTGCCTTTTTATACTGGCAAAAACTACCGCTGCTGAGGGTATGCGAAAGGGGATTTATCCACAAACACTTACCTCCATTTAGACGCCACCAGCTCGTAACTTCTGACCACACCAGAAAAGTGGAAAACGCAGTGCAACTACACTTCAAGAACGCTCTCTTAAACACATCTTTCCTTTACATAAAGATGACTCACAGAGATTGACAGCACAGAATAGGATTCAAAAAGCCACTGCAGGCTGGCACTTTAAGCTAAGACTAGGCATTGTAAGCAACACATCAGTTATAACATTTTCTATTTTTGCTTAAGCCATCAGTTCACACAATGACAGCAATTAACGCACTGAACTGCATGGAAGATTTAATTGTATGCTAGATTTAGCGACAGTGCAAGTGTACTTTTTTCCTGCCTTTTCAGCCAAGAAAGTTTTCAAGTTAGGCCTGACTTCTAAATGGATAACTGCAAGCGAGAGGTGTACAAATGTTTGACCTTGTCCAATGCAACAAGGGAAAACATAGCATGTTTTTCTCAGTTTTTCTTCCTAGTTTAAAAGCTACAAATCTAAAATAATGAAAAGCACCCAACACTTATTTTCTAATATCTGTTCTATGAAACCTATTCCTTCAGTAGTGGATGAAGAGATAAACTTAGCCTCATCTGTCATTCACCTTAATATGACCAGAGTCCTGGTCAGTACAGAATGTATTTTACTTACCTAGGAAGGGGATCCAACTCCATGACCTTTACAGTCAAAAGGCCTTCAGATCTCCAGATGCCACAGGTTTGTATGTTCACAAAAGTCAACATGCAAGGCCATGCTAGCCCGAATATCATCATGGTCAACAATACTTCCACAATCTGAGTTGAACAAACGCAACCACAGTACTGACGAGTGCGCAAAGCAAAGCACAGCGCAGACTACTTGTCAGATGCTCTACTTAAGGAAGTTCAGTCGATCTCTAACAGCTCCAAAACAAAGTCAGCGTAGTCCAGTAGCTCACCGACTTCACTGCAGTTGAAAGAAAACAGCTGCCTACTCCGATAACAGAAACCATTCTTAATTATTCAGAAAGCTTTAGCCATATAGGACGGTTTTCCTGATAAATAAAACTCTTACTGCAAAGGAATCGCATCTTACTGTATACAGCTTGTTGAAATATTCATGGTACAGAACATCCTTATCTGTGAAAGAATTAATACATTTTGTTTTCAGATCTGCACAATATCTCATAAAAAAGGCAGCCACACACTGAATAAGCAGAAAAACAAAATACGGGGTAAATGCTGATTAAGTGATGACATCATTATCAAGCCTCAATACTGAAAAAAGCAAAGGTCCTGCAGGGAAAAAAAAAACAGTGATTGTGTAATTGTGTACTTCCTCATCATGCATATGCACAAAGATGATGAATGAAGGTTATATGGGCATGTTTTCAATATGCATTTCAGTGTTTCCAAGCTAAATTCTGTTCCTCTGTCAGCAATCGCCTTGCCTCTAATAAAGCAGACTGAGTAAGACAGGAATTGCACCATGCCATATTTCCATGTTCTGACTACTCAGCCATTTAGATTCCCACATAGCCCTCTGCCACCTGAATCTCACAAAAATACCCGACAGTAACATTTGGTCATCCTCCGCATGTACCAGCAATACAGAGGAATAATGAAAAATCAGGGATATTAGAAATATGAGAAGATACCATGTTCTGAAGTGTTTGGGGATTCAGTGAAGAGACACTTGCCAGCTAGTTCACTCCAACTGCAATCCCTTCTGCCCCACCTAGAAAAACCTAACCAGATCTATCAATCTTTTCTTCTTTTCTTTTATTTAGATGAAGTCTGTTTTAAAGTGTGCCTCTCAATGAAAAACACACACCTGGCAGCCCAAGCCCTGCCCAGTTTAACAGTTTGTGGGACTCCCTTGAGTGTCTTTGACTGTGTTGGCAACAGAGGACACGGTCAATCTTCTAGCAAATTTGCAATTGGAAAACTTGACACAGCTTTTTCTAGAGGACTAACCCCTGCCCCGCCATCAACATACTAGAAGTCAGGAACCCAGGATTCCGACCCCAGGAGTCAAGTTTGGTTTACAGTCATTAGAAATCAGCTCACTAAAAGCAACGATCCATATAACAAAGTTTGAAATGGGAGCAGAGATCCGCATTTTGTGCCTAGCATAACCTCAGATGTTGAGGGTGGGGGAAAGAGAAGGAAGGGAGTTGCGAGAACAGCAAAAATCTGCTGAATATTTCCCTTTGGTCTTTACTACTTCGACTAACTTGTAAATGGAAAATTTGTCATCAAATCAGCACATTTGCCTGTTAGGTGTATCTTCCATTATCCTTAAAACAGATCACAAGCATCTATGTACAACAGGCACCTCAGGAAAGTTCACAAAGCGCAATTACAGGTCCAAAATGGGCATCCTGGGTGCATTACGTTGCTTCTGAAAGTGAGAAAAGGAAGAGAGAAACGAGCAAGAAAGTTGCGGAGAAGGCACTAAGTCTTCAATCGTTTTTCTTTTCCCAGGCAAATTCCCTCCAAACACCAAGGAAAGGTCAAACTACATCCAGATTACACTCCTAGAATTTTTTTTAGCTGTTCAATTAAAAGTTGTCTGGGAATTTAAGCAGCATTGAGGCAGTGTGTTAATAAGATTGTTATAAAGTATTTTTGTCCAAAATGGTAAATACCTATTAACTTGGAGAAGCAAATGGAAGAGTCCAGAGCCCAGCTAAGATACAGATATCTTTTTTCACCTCAACTCTTTAGAAATACATACCTTGAACTCATCTGTACAACATATGCAATTTCAGTCTTCTCTTCAGAAGGTTTCTTTACCACTTGGGGCATTAAGTGATGTTTTTATGTCAAGTCCACCCTCTATATATGAATACAGCTTAGGAAGGGTCTAAATTTGCACTGCTGATATTCAAAGCTTAGTGGTGCCTCAGCCTTTCAGCCTTT